CGTTCCCGTAAACAAGATGTCCAGTTACGCCATCGTTGTAGGCAAAGATGGACTCCTGCTCACCACCTTGTGGTGGTCTCAATTTGCAGTTTAATAAGCAAGACAATGGAATCTTCGTCCATGACCCTTTGGTCTTACTGATGTAAACAGCCAATAGATCTGAATGAGACCTTGTTTGAGCTAGGTCCTGCCTCTGCTATTCCCCGAGACAAAGCTAGTTGTCCGACAGAATGCACGGATCTAAACTCTTCTGATTAACTAACAGTCGAAATTCTGCTGTTAAGCAAATTGCAATGGGGGTCTAAACATTATATACCCCTTCGGTGTATTCCGTAGTCAGCGGTGCCGGTGATGCTGCGCGAGAGGGGCGGGATCGTCCCACGTGTTCACTGCTCCACTCGTCGATCCTCACCGACCGAGTAAATTGTCTGCTCACACTCATTCTAATGCGCTTTCATTTTACTCACCAGCGTGAATTGACACCATTATATTCTGTGGAAATGAATAGGATGGCAAGTTGATGCACAGGTTTCTCGTCGACCCTTCCTGTCATGCACAGCACCGACTGATGCCATTTGCACGACAGAAGTTAGTTCATAGATTTCTCTTGCCATTCGGATATTGTACGTAACATGGAAAATATTCCGTTCTAACGGAGCGAGTTAATTCCCCACAATAGTAAGTCTGCATTTCACCACAGTACCGCGATTTGCCGATCGGTCCCCACCCTGCCTGTCACGGCCACATCTGATCCCGAAGGACACACCACAGAAGACTGTGCAAACTGTTGGCCCAGGCATTTTCGAGGTGCATAAGTTCACTTTTGTCTTCGCAAAGTCTCTCAATTGCCGACCCACACTGTAAGTTTGGCTGTCCTGATGCGGAAATGCCTCCGCGTGCAGTGGGCGAGGCACACCCGCCAAAGTTGGAAAGAGCATGGAACCCGATTGTTTCTTCGTTATCCCATGAGGTAGGAGGTTCAGTAAGCGTTGGTTCCCCGATTGATATTTTGCTGTCGGACAAGATTCGGTTCAGGCTCGGGGCTGGATTACGCAAAGAACGACCCGTCCACAAGCTCTCCAGGGTTGCCTCCATATTGGCTTCCACAGCGGCACTTGTGGTTATTGTTGCTTGGCTAGCCTTCTGTAAGATCCATCGCAGCGACAGAAGAGCAACAGGGCTAGTGCAGCGGCACTTGTCTGATTATGGGGAAGAAAACGACCTTGAAAGCATTTTGGAAGGTTGTTTGGAGTTAAGGGAGGAACTTGGGCTCTCACAGGATGTTTCCGAGCCTGATGAGCCGCCAGAAGCGAAGAAGGCTAGGTTGTTCCTCATGTTGAAAGACTCCGGAGAAGCATTTGAACGCGCGAGAGAGAATAGTTTACAGCCGTTGCAAGCGGGGGCACGAGGTCTCACCCATGAGT